GTGTGTGTGTGTGTGTGTGTGTACAAACAGATGCGCTGCCATCAGCACATATTAAGTGACAGTGTGTTTCTGATTGACTGGTTTCAGCACTTAGTAAAACAAACTAAAGCTAATGAGCCGACATGATCTGATCAGCTATTAACCTTCTGCTCCATCTGCTCAGCTTGTTAGTTTAAAGCAGATAACAGTCGTAGAAATCATTTTAATTTAGGTTTTTTACAAGATGTGTTCACATCATGCAGCATCTCCTATCCTCCATCACATCTGACGTTAACAGGCATGAAAACTGAAAATAAGTCCAAGCTGTCTTTACGTCAAAGAGCTGATATTTCTGATCAAATGTGAGGACTGAACATTTGTAAAAAGAAATCAGGATGTGCAGCAGAGCTCAGAGTGAAGTGAAACATGTCAGCAGATTTAAAAGTATTTCAAACTCAGTCGTATAACTGTGAAGAAGTTTAATTACACATTTAACCCCTGACAGAGCTTAATATCAGGAAAAAAGCAATTTCAATAGTAAGTCTCATTTTTTGTTCATGATAAAAAAATAAAAAAACTTTGCTAAAAAGTCCTGTAGTTATAAAACTGAAATTTTTGTTAATTACAAAGAAAATTTGAGATTTCTTTATTTTTAATGTGGACAAATGGTATAAAACTACCTTTCTATAGCATATTATAGCAGTTTGTTTTATTACTTAATAGCGGCCGAGTTCTTTATCAGCTGGAAAAACTGTAAAACTCATGAATATGAAGTTAAAACTCGTGCCCTCCATCACATTGTTCAAAGTCATTCAGTGAGGTGGCTTAGAGACTTTGGTGGGCCAATTCTGGCCCCCATGCCTTATGTTTGACAACCCTGAACTACGCAGACAGCATGAAACACAAAGACAAAAGCTTGACTGTCCTGATGTTCCAAATATTTTATTGTAGTTATGGGTCTGAGATGACTTCAGCTTTTCAGTGAGAAAGAGCCAGAGCCTCATCAAACCATCTGCATGCAAAGAGTGCTTAATGGGTGTCAGAGGTGTGCTGACAGAGCTCTTGTTCCAGCTTGTTAGTCACTTAAAGAAGAAGCTCAACTGACCGAGAAAGAGCGTTACCATGACGAGCTGTCCATGACGAAGGAGGACGCGTGTTTCAGACAACTTCTCAAAGTGTTTTTCATCTGCATCTACAAATGAACCAGAAACCAGAGCCGCTGTCACCCCACAACCAAACCATAAAAACATTTTCTGCACAAAGGATGGAAATTCACTCCATTAAATACTGAACACTACAGCTCAACTTTTATCATTTCTGCTCTTGATTTTCTTTTTCTAATTTTCTTTTAATTCATATTTTGCATTCATTAGAGATACAAGGAATCGGTGTCAAGAAGATGCATTATATTTATGATAAAGTGCAGTTTTAGCTGATATATGTCAGAAGATTATTGTAGACCTGTTTCATTATTTTCTATTGTAATGTTTTCTGTAGTAGATTGTGATAGATTAAACAAAAATAACAATGGCGTCATGTGTAAAATGTAAATCAAATAAGAATTTTTTGACTGTTTCTTATACATTTTTATCACTGAAACCAGGAAAAATATTAAAAATTTCCATCTCATCAGGTTTTCTTGCGAAACTCGTGTTTTTGTCAGGGTTCCTGGGTGGTTCACCCAGTGTTTTCAGTTTTGTTCATGTTCAGTTTATTTTGTCACTCGTTCTCATTTCCTGTTTTGCTGTTCCAGTTACTTCCATGTGTCTTTACTCAGATTAAGTTCAGCTGTTCACTCACCAGTTTCTAATTAAGATAAGATAAGATAAGATAAGATAAGATAACCTTTATTAGTCCCACACGTGGGAAATTTGTTTTGTCACAGCAGGAAGTGGACAGTGCAAAAGTTATGAGGCAAAAATTAGGATACAATAAGAATAAACACAGTACACAGCTGTACAGGATAGAATAAATAAAATACTACATACAGTGGAATGAAATAAAATAAATATACAATAAGATAAAAATAGAATACAAATACAAATGCTATATACAACTGAGTAAAAATACAACGATGACAGAAAGGATTATTGCACTTAGTATTATTGCATATGTATGGATGTGTGTGTTTGATCAGTTAAAGTCTTT